GGCTGTGACTCACAAGGAAAGAAAAAGATAAACAGTGACTAAACTAAAGGCTTTCTTTAGGAAATCTACTCAGTCGCCATACATTAAAATAATCATAGCTACTCCCTTCTATTAAAAATAGTGTTTATATGATCCTTTTAGTAGGTCAGTTACAAGGTGGCTAGGTAGATGGATTTCTTACACATCCTACTTCTGGAATCAAGCAAAGGACAGATGAAAACAGGAAGACAACAGTATCTTGGAATAAGCAGCCCTCTATCAGCAATGTGCTGCATTCATTACATAACAGAGTGTGGGAATCTAAGGCAAGGGACAATCTTGTGGCTTATTTATAAATATAAGTTAGGAAGTGGTCAGTATAATTTCAACCTCTTTGATATTTTAAATGTTAAAGAGGTACATTATAAGACCTGAGTAAACCAATGCTTCAAAAACACTGTGTGGTTTTATCAATATTTCCTGAAGAGTGTCTTAAATGTTAAAGAAAACCTTTCAAGAAAAAATGTCAATAACTTTATAACAACAACAACCAAAATAAAGTTCATTTGTTTTTCATCATTTCTTTCAAATTGGCTAATTTTAAAAGTTATCATTCCTTTTGTGTTCTGTGTATAGATCACTAGTTCGGTTTCCTCTCTTACAGGTTTCTTTTAAGACCTCAGTTTGTACAAATGTCAATTACAGCATGAAAATAATTTTGGAGTTTTCTACAAGTTAAGAGATAGTTGAGTATTTAAAAACGTGCTTGTGCAACCTAGCCAGCTCAAGCAGAATGAAAAATTGAGGATATTGAGCTTCTCCTTCTCAAAAGGTAAGTGGTTCATAAAATTCTACCTTCTCTATTTTCTCCTTTCCTGAACTCCTTTTTTCCCCAAAAAGAAAAACACTTCTCGTTTTCCACAAAACTGAAATAAACTTCCAATTTTTCATAATGCTTAAAATATTAAATAACAATAATTAATTTCTAGGTAAGGAATATTAATTTGTAGTTATAATTTTTCAAAATAGCAATCCAGTTTACTGTCACTCAAATGAATCATTTCTGCCTACTTATTAAGGAATTGAAGACAGTATATGAGTAAAGTGTGCTGCCCAAAGACAAAATCAAGTTGAAGGTCTTTGAAATATTTTTTGTCTTTTGAATCTAAATTTTAACCTAAAAGTCCTAAAAACAGTTACTTTCTTCCAGATACTTAACCTCTCTACTCACAAGTTTACTGCTCCCTAGAGCCCAATTTGGATTAATAGCTTGCATAAATAATTGAAATTTAAATAAAGGAAGGTATCCTAATAATGTTCTAGATACAAATCTAGTCTGTAAGCCCTTGGGGCAGGGGTCTTCTAGGAGACATTGCTCAGATGTGATGAACTCACCACACAGTCCTCAAACCTTCCTTACTAATGGCTTATTTTGATTGTACTAGCCAAAAATTTGTCTAAACAGTCCTACAGCATTTATACTTTAACCTTTACAACTTCTTAGAATAATAACACTATGTTTATTTACTAGAATCACATGCTAAGAATTATTATAATTCCTTTTGTCTAGAAATGATCTTATGTTTTATCCTGAAACTAAAAAGAGGAATTCCTTGCTTCTTTTGAGATTTGGCTATAAAATGTGTGTGTATCCATCCTACTCAGTAGCCCTCATTATTTATTTTATAGACTTTGAATCACCGGTAACAACATGTAATGCTCGCTCACAACAGACTGAGTCCACTAAATCAGGAAAATAAAAATCTAATCTCAAGAGGTGTGACATAATAGCAAATAGGTTATAGTGGCTACTCTGGAGCACAGAATACAATGCTGTTATTCTGGGAAAGTGCATCTAAAGAGTTTGGGGCTTTATTAGGAAATCCTTGGGTATAAAAGTGACATTCAAATATGCCACACTTCTTGCTCTTTTGTTCCACATCATCAAAAACGGTTCTGGTAAATTTGTAACTGGCTGAGATTTCAGGTCATTAGTGATATCCATGGACAAATAAATGCCTGACATTTTCTCTTTGTCTCCATTTCCCTTTCATGTCCCATAATCTCTCTCTCCCCCAACCCACCCTTTCTCTCTGCTCTGTGTGTTTTGTTTCCACATCTGTGTGTTGCTCCTTGTGTGCAAGAAAGAGAAAAAGAGTTTGCTTCCTCTGTGTCTGTAGGGTGGTGGACACACTTTAGACGAATCTCAAAATAGGAGAAGTAGGAAATTCCTCTTTTCAGTCTTCTGGATGGATACCTGACCATCTGAGTGTTCACCCATGTGCCTGTGTACTATCTGTGTATCTCTCAATATGTAGGTCTATGCTTAGCTGATTCTCACTATAAGGTTTGATCTTTTCCTAAGAAGAAAAGGACGTTGAATCAGAAAGAGCTTTTCTTGGGGTTCAGATAAAAAGACAATGCCAGCCTCTGTTTCTTCAATTGTTAAATAGATTGGGAGTGCTGGCTTCTATTCTTTCTCTTCCTACTAAAGCTCTGCCAAAACTTCACTTTCAATGTTGTTAAGCTAGGGAATAATGAAACCTTCAAAGTGACAAACTTGATCCACCTGTGAGAATCCTGAAGGGAATTTTCTATTAGTCTCAATTAAACAATTTCTTACGATAAATTTTTCTATTTCTCTTCCAAATCATATAGAAATGACAACTGCGGGATATTCCACCATGAATGTATAGACAATTTAATACCACAATTCTCAATTTCTGAGGTTCTTCCTACAAAAAGGTACGGAGACGTTTCAGTATTTATCACATACACCTGTTTATATACTTACTACAACTATCTAACACACTCCAAACAGTTCAGGGTCTTTGAGCAGTGGTATTGAAAGTTACCCATCAGCAATTAGAGGTGGCATGTAAGTGCCAGAACAGATAAATTTTCATTTGCACTTCGTTTTATCCAGGAAAGAAACATTTAACCAATGAAACAATTATGAACATGAAATGTAAAAAAAGATAAAATATTACTTTGAGTGGTAGATATAAAATGGAGGCAACAGAAACAGACATTTCTAAGCCACCTAAGGTAAAGCTTCATTTCATAATATATCTACAATTTGTAAAAATTCAAAAAACTATCTCATAGTTTCACAGCCTATATAAGAAGCTTCAACCAAAGTTGCTTCATCAGTAAAGTTTAGTCAAGGGATTCACATGTTCTTTCTCCTTATCAAACAGAGCAATCGTAAGTCTGGAGATTTGATTTTTTTAAGGCCTTCTCTGAAAAGTCCTCTCATAGACCAAACTGCGTGGAGTTGAAATAACCCAAGAGGATGAGAAAGCTGAAATAAGACATATACTTAACTAATTCCAATAACCCTTATATTTCTCCCAAACTGTTTTAAGAGTAACATCCTCTTGTATTACAGGTTTAGTATAATATTAATACAAGAAGGTAATGTATAAGTATAAAAATTACCTACCATTATGAATTTATATAACTCAAAAATATTACAGGTATTTAAAAGAATACTAAGCCAGACCCTATCAGCTATTTTTTCCAACCCAAATACAACACAACTGCTTTAGACTTGTATTGTTTCAGGCATTGGCCAAAATGAAGAAATAAAGTTTAAAACCTCAAATTAAAAACAAATACCAAGTCAGACATTTAGGGGAAATATTCTGAGACACTTAAATACAGTTAGTCTCAAAATGAGGGGAAATACTTGCAAGCATAGTCTTAAAAGAGATTCTAAGCTAAGAATTCGTATAATCTAATCTACCATTTAGGTAAGGATCGTTTATTTAATCATTTGTTATCACTTTAGCGTGACTCTGTCTTTCTGTGTGCCTCCAGCTAGGCAGGGAGACTCTTAAGAAGACGGGATGTGTATTAATTAGTTTCTTAATCCCAAGAAACCACAGAGTGTCTGTGGTATAAGGCACCCAAATAAATATTGTTTTATTGAATGAATAAACAAGGTACTGTGGAACTGCATAGAGTATTTCCATTGCTTTGTTCCAAGCTCTACTCTGCTCCATATACAGAAATGTCTTTCTCATTATTCTCCAAGCAAGAGATCTCAAAATGACAGCCTCTGAAGGAAAAACTTTAAAAGATATTCAACCTATCTTACTTATGAAATTTAAAATTATACAAAAGAATTAAAAACACGTAGAAAATGCAGATTTCAGTAAGATGTAAAGTTTATATGGTCTTAAAATGTGGAAATGTATAACCATTCGCATCCTGAATATCTTGAAGGAAATGAATGTATAAACGGATGGTATTTTAAAGACACATTAAGGCAAGAAAACATTAACGTCAGAAGCAAGGTAAGATGACATCTTTTTGAATTTTTTTCTAATTGCATTAAAAGCACAACAGCTACTGCTTCACTTCTAGGTTTCTAGTGTTCAAGTCAAACGAAATATATAGACCAATACACAATGAAAAACATAGCAAGAAGAAACTTTAAACACCAATTTGTCTACAGTAATTGCCTTCCCATTTTTCAGTCACTGAACTCTCTTTTTTAGGTTCCACGCCAACTACTCTCCCCAGCACAAAGCACCTTTCCCCGTGCCCATGAGGGCCAAAAGCCTTTCCAGAGATTTAAATCTTGTTAAGTAGCCACTTTTGCAGCCATTCCCAACTTGAGGGAAACCTTTCCACTGAGATTAACTCAGAATTTGGTCAGTCCCTGCTGCCCACTTTGGGAAAAAAATGTGGGAGACGGAAGAACAAGAAAAATAAAAGCAATACTCAACTGTATGCTCCAGATGTACCTACTACACCCTATCCAACCCCTTTCTTTCCTCCAGTTCTGGGCTCTGGACAGGTGGGAGGGGGTGAGTCAGGATGCAACTAACTTTCCTCCTCCACCTCATTGCCACCCCCACCCCCAAATCCAGCCCAACTGGTAACTGAAACCACCAGGTAAGACTGCCTGCATCCTCCTCCCCCCTTGGGAGAGGCATGGGATGGGGAGGACGGAGAGGGGCACTGGGGGGCGGGATGGAGGTGGGGGTGCTCTGAACTACAACTCTCCTTACCACTGGAGCGCCTGACGATGTTCTCCAAAAATGTGTTCTGCGGTGCCACCAGCCCTCTCTTGCCCCCCGGCATCCTGGGTGTGGAGAGCAGCGGCCAGGATCCGCGGCGGGGGAGGGGGGATGCAGGAAGAGAAGGTGGAGGAAGAGGAGGAAAAGGTGGAAGAGAAGATTGAGCCGAAAGAAGAGGGGGCGCGGCGGCGGCGGCGGGGTCCCCTGACTGTGTCTCCAGCCCGACCTGGATGAGCAGCTCTGGGGAGGAGGACCAGGCAGTTCATGGTAGTAGCGCTCCCCCGGCCGCCGCTGCCCAGACTGTGGCGGTGCCGCACACGGGGCTCGGGAACTGCAGGCTCCGCGGGGCACAGTGCGCCTGCGCCGCCCCCGCTGTCGCTGTCCCGCCGGTGCTGATGCCGAGGCTGCTGCTGAGGCTGCCACCGCGGCGGCCGGCGCCCGGGCGCGGGCTCCACATCTCTCCCCCTGCCCCGCGCCCCGGGCCGGGGGAGCGCAAGCGCAAACTCAAGCCCCCACTCCCCCAGGAGCCCCTCAGCTCACACCGAGCCCCCTTTCCTTTCCCGCGCCTCGGTCTCCGGGTCTCCTCGCCGCCCAGCGCAGCCCAACTTCTGCGGGGCTGTGCGCCTGGTGGTGGCTCCTCTCCCCGGAGACCGAGGCGAGCGCTCGCGGTCCAGTCGGGCCGGGGGAGTGGGAGAGGCGGGTGCCCGGGACAGCGGTGGCCAGTCGGAGGCTCACGTCTCGGCGTCTCCCGCTCGGGGCCGGGGCCGGGCTGCTGGCGCGGATGCGGCTCCCGGGGCGGAGGTGCGGACGGGCTGGCGCTCCAGCCGAGGCTGAGAGCCGGGCAGGGACTGGCTGGGCGGCGCGCGGGGACGCAGAGCAGCCACCTGACGCTGCTACCGCCCCCCTCCGGGCTCCGGCGCCCGAGACCTTCCTCAGCACCGGCGCTTTGCGCACCGCCCTGCCCCACCCCCGGAGCGGGAGCGCGAGCTCGGGAGTCCGAGCGCGCGGCAGGCTCGCGGAATGGCCCCGGCGACCCGGGCCGGGCTGGGTGCGTTGGGGGAGCGGGAGGCCGCCCAGGGGAGCTTCCTTCGGGGCGGCTGAGCGCAGGAGGCGAGCCGCCAGCCCGCCACCGCTGCAAAGTTCTGGGAAAGGTTGCACTTGATGCGAAGAGTAGCGGGAGAGGGTGAATAGTTCCCACCAGAGAGACGGGGAGTGAGGCGGGCAGCGTTAGCGATGGAGAAACGGTGAAGGCTGCGGGGGCGAAGATGCGCCAGGGTGAGGCAGGGCAGGAATCGCCTCTAACAACGCCCCCTCCCCGCCAAATCCCAGGCGTTGAGAATGGACAGCAGTGGAACCGTTACAAACAGTCCAAAAGCCTGACTGTGCCACGGAGAAGGGAAAATGGCATAAGTGCGAAGGGGGCAGAGAGAGATGGAAAAGAAAGAGGAGCCTACGCCGAGGCACCTCCTTTGATCTAAGGCAGTGGTTTTCAAAGTGGCCCGGAGTGGCAGCATCCGCATCTGCACCGCCTAAGAACGTGTTTAAAATGCAAATTATTGGATTCTACCCCAGAGTTAGGGAACCAGGAACTCTAAGGATTGGGTTGACCCATCTGTTTTAACAAGCCCTCCAGGTAAATACGATAAGTATAAGGCGCCCTCTCATCTCCAGGGGCTGCACCTGGGCCTGTCAAGAACGGACGATTGTGTAAACAGGGTTAAAGAGCGGGAGACCAGAAGTGCACCGCCCCGGAGTCAGCGGTTGGTGGTGGAGCGAAGTCTTGAGTGTTGAAGGCGATAGGATAGTTGGATGGGTGCGATCCCTTTTGCTGGGATCACAACGTGCTAGAGGAGAGGTAACTGCGTTAGAAATTATCAGATTACCAGAAGCAGGGGGAATCCCCAGGCAGGGGTCCGAGTACACATCTCAGCACCTGTCCTTTTTTGGAACCCTCTAGATTACCAATCATTGACTTCAAGACAAGACCTAACTCACTCTCTCTCTCTCTCTCTCTCTCTCTCTCTCTCTCTTTCTCTCTCTCCGCCCCTGCTCTCTTTCTCCTCTTTCTCCTCTCCTTTGTTTCTCTCTTCTCTCTCTCCTCTCTTCTCTCTCTTTCTCTCTCTGAAATTTTCAGAGCCCAGGCAGCTGAGCAAACCCAGAAGGTTGACACAAGGCAATTTTATTCCGCTAAAAATCTTTATGCAAAAAGACCAAGAGATTCCGTAGAATAACACTAGGCTATTCTAGCTTTCCACAGGAAGCACTGCTGGTCATGGACCTTATCCCCTTACAGTTAAAATGTCTGTTAAATATATCAGGTGTGTTTAGTTCAATAACAAGCGACTCAGGTGCAGACTGGATCTGTAGTGAGCTTGTCACAGCAGCACTCAGAGATATGGCCAGGTTACAACTCCCTCCTTGCAGTTGGTAGGAAAAACTGAAACCATCACCACAGCAGCCTTAAACATATAATTGAATTTCCCACTCTATCGAGTCTTTTGTGACCTGTGTTCAAATGATCCTATCAGCTAGCTATTTATTGGCTGGGTTGGTGAATAGGCAGGCTTATTTTTTAAGCAGGTATAATTCATTGCTATTCTAGACTTCCAGCATGCTATAATAATTCCATCATCATCATTAACAGAGAATATTTCAAATCTATATGTTCTTTTGCATATCATCAGCTGTCCACATCTCACCTATGGGTATTGATTTCAAATCTCAGCTTCTCAGTATTTCCCATCTAGTATATATATCCTTGTTCCTAATCATTCCTCTGTGGGTGTATTAGCTCAAATTTCCCAAAGAGGAAATTCTTTTGGACTCCATTAAGACACAGTCACAAAATTACTGGTAGAACCTCCTTGTTTCCATCTGCAGATTTGATTAAAATTACATTCATCCTTTCTTGTTTCTAACAACTCCATAGCATTATAATGTTTAGATTATTTTAATGATCATAAAAATGTGGCAGTTAAGAAGTGTCAAAAGGTTGCATACTTTTCTTAATCTTCTAGTTTAAGGTTTCATTTTATAAAGAAACCAAGACCCCCCAAAAAATGAAGTATCCTGTCCCAGATGACACAGTGCTTTAGAACAGTCTGCACTGAGACTAGAATCAGGTCTCCTGACCCTGTAGCCAGAGCTCCTTGTAAATAATAGAAAATAACTTAATCTTAGGCTACTGTGGTAACAACAAGCAACATCAAGGATCTCTATTGCCATCACTGATTTTGCCGCCAATGAGAATAGAAACCCTTGGCAACTGTTGAGAACTGACTGGGAACTTGCAACTGTTCCCAATCAAAATAGAGTCAAGGAAAATCGAGTGGCAGCATCATATAGACTGACTGGCCCTAAGGAACGTGCTGGCCAATTTCAACAAGGTGCTAATACAGCATTTTAAAAGTGTGTTGCAGACTCCATATATTGTGAACAAACTACAAGATTTAACAGATGAAAGAGATAGGAATTAGAAAGCTTCAATGTCACACAAAGAAAGAGCTTGGTTTTGTTTTATTGCCAAAATTCCATTTCAAAACAGAATCATTTGTTCTTTTCTTCTGTCCTTCCGGGTATGGTAATTAGAGAGAACTCGTCTGTGATCACCAAGAATTCCAGTCCTCAGAAGTGTCCACTGACTCCTAAGTCACAGCAGAATGAAAGCTGGCTGAATGAACTGTAGGTGTGTTCCAGTCTAACCGAAACCAATATAAACGTGAAGCTTAGAAAATTGATGTTGGAGCCGGGCGTGGTAGCTCCCGCCTGTAATCCCAGCACTTTGGGAGGCCGAGGCGGGTGGATCATGAGGTCAAAAGATCGAGACCATCCTGGCCAAGATGGTGAAAACCCCGTCTCTACTAAAAATACAAAAATTAGCTGGGCATGGTGGCACATACCTGTGGTCCCAGCTACTTGGGAGGCCGAGGCTGGAGAATCACTTGAACCCAGGAAGCGGAGGTTTCAGTGAGCAGAGATTGCACCACTGCACTCCAGCCTGGCAAGATTCCATCTCCAAAAAAAAGGAAAATTGATGTTGGAAGTGATGATTTGGAATGACTACTGGTTCACTGAAGGACTCTTTTATCAAATACCCCTCCTCTGAAGATGTTTAAAATATAGTTTACTTAACAGTAGCTGTAATTATATGTAAATTTTCAAAAAATACATTAGAAATAGGTTCAGTTTGACACTTACTCTTTGATCCGTTATGTGCAAATGATCCAACCACTACTTTCTCGGGAAATTCTTCTCCTAATACCTACTTTCTGTTTCTGAGCAAACCCCAGTACAGATCCAAGTTACAATCATCTGTAGATGCTAAATGGGTGGCTGTGATGGAGGAATGGGAAGAAGTAAAAAAGGAAAGGGGCAAAAGTGATTCCCTATCATGGCCTCCAGGGTTGGCCTCACTAGAGCAGTATCACTCCATTCCATTTTTCCTCCCCAAGCCTCGCTACGTGCCTTTCCCCAAAGCCCTGTCCCAGCTCTAGCAGTGAAGCATACAAACATTACTAAATTCCTCTGCATGCACCAAGTCCCACATTTACACCTATATCTTCTACCTCTTCTCCTTTCTGCTACCCCCACGCAGGATCTAAATTGAGAGAAAGCAGACTAGAGATTCAATGCCTGGACTCTGGACCCAGACTACCTGGAATTTAATCTTGCCTCCCTCACTTACTAGCTATATGACCCAGGCCAGGTTATTTAACCACAACTTCCCTTGTAAAATGGGGATAATCATTACCTATTTCATAGTGCTGATACGGAGATTAAGTTAGTTACTATTTGAAAACCACTGCAGACAATATCTGACAGGTAATAAGCACTATGTAAGTGTTTGAAAGTAAAAACATGAGCCTTTTTCTCCCCTTCTACTTTCATTTAGTGAAGGCTTTAGAAAGTGGTCACTACTGAGGTTCACCAATATCCAGTTGCCTTTTCCTGCTTCTTGAAATTAGTGTGGCTACGAACTAATGCTTGTTAGTGAAATAGGAATGAAGGGAAAGGGTGTTACTTCCAGGTGAGCATCTAAGAACCAGGACTTATTTTCTCATCCTCCTCTTCTTCTGCCTCAGTGACTAGGGAATGCCAACAAATGCAAGG